AGGCCTACGCGAGAAGGTTTAGGGTATACATGGGTTTGGGGTTATAGAGGGTTTATATGGGGTTACATAGGATTATATATGGTTATCTGGAATTTTTATAGGGCTATATGGGGGTTATATTGGGTTTATAACGGGTTAGTAGGTGGCTAAAGTGTTCTTGTAGTGTTTGGGGGCTGGATTTAGGGTTTGAGGGCTTGGAGTTCAGGGTTGAGGGTTAGCTTTCAAAATTCTTGAACCCCAAATGCGCAGGATGGAGACTAATTACACTGAAATGGTTTTAGGGTTTAGAGTGTAGAGTTAGAGGCATCTCCCTCCCCAAAATCCAAGAGTTTTTGGATCCCGTACCTGGATTCGCGAGTAAGCATATTATAAGTAGAAAGAATTGGACAAACATCGACCACAATCCGCTAGTTGGTGGCTGCAGTAGATGGTCCAGCCCCTGCCCTAAACCCTAAACCCTCAATAATTTAGACCCCAGGAGTCATGTGATTTCCGTGGCGGGAAACCCCGGACATGGCCCTTTAAAAGTACGTTCCCAGAGTGTACCCATGTTTCAAGTATGGAGTGCGCGGAGATTGTATCAGAATTCATGTGATAATGTTTACGGCTCAGGGGGGTAGTCCTCAGTAATCATTGCGCACCTAGTGAAGGGGCTTTTTATTCTCTCTGTGGACGCGCACACTCCGTGTGAACTACCCAAAGTGCACAAAACGCAGTTGGCGACTCAGATAGCCTTGAGCATGAAATTCGGTCCCACAACTATGAGCCAATGTACCCTCGATCATCTGGACCCACAAGTTCGAAACCCTAATCGTAGTCCCGAAATAACAAGGCCAATAGATTTTGAATTCTAAATCCAAAATCTAAGCCCTGCATTTCAAAGCTTCAACCCTACTGGGTTGCTGTTAAGGAACTTAAATTAAGTTACCATAATGGGTATATATAGTAAATAATAGGGTTTCCCCAATCTAGTAACCTAAATTAAGTTCCTTAACAGCAACCCAGCCTAAGCCCGGACCTCTCATCTCCAAGCCCTGAATGCAAAAACCACTCTCAGGGTTCAGGGTTTAGGGATTGGGGTTCGTGTTTCAGGGTTCATGTTTCGGCTTAGGGTTCATGGTTTAGGGTTTGGAGGTCCAGGGTCTAGGGTTCAGTGCTAAGCCTTGTAATGTGGAAGCCTGCGTTAGGAAGAAAATTGTGGCCTCGTGGTATTACGTGCCTGGAATTCTGTTCCGGTTGCTTTCCCCCTGCACCTCTCCACCCCCTCATGATAAAACCCCCCCCATTGCATATTGGCATTGTATCGGGGGGTCTATATTCTTGGTGTGGTTGGGATTCAGTTGTGGAGGTGGTGATTTTGGCCTTACATGCACTTGCGTGAAGGTAAGATTGCGGCTGACACGTGGGAGTCAGCTACCCTGGCGCTCTCCGAATAATCCGATGACCCCAAAACAGTACACACTCAAGCCATAGACCCCCCAACAACAAAACTCAAAGCCTCTACTCTGAAAGCTCCAAAGCATAAACACTCAACATACGCCGGAAGACGCCCCCACCCGCAGCTCAAATCCCCCATGCAGTTTCCATTTAGTTTCCATTTCACTTTCTATATGATGCTACAGCATAGTACTAGTAATATTGTAATACTTAGAATGTTTGCCGACATCAACGGCTAAAAAGCTATTGTGTGCTATACCTTCCAAAGCCATATTGGCCCCTACATTAAACCTTAACCAAAACCCTGAAAGCCCTAACCCAGACTCATAAACCCTCAATTCCTCAACCTTACATCCTAAACTTCCAAACCCGAAACCCTAAATCCTAAATCCCAAATCCTAAGCCCTAAATCCTAAACCCTAAACCCCACATCCTAGACCTAGATCCTAAATCCTAAGCCCCAACCCCCACCAGGACCGTCATAAGCTTGACGAGACGCAGAAGCAGCGCCTCATCGAGCAGCTGGCGCGGGCCCTAAACCCTAAACCCTTAACCATGGTAGTTTTTTCAAACGAAGGTGTAGGGTTTAAGAATTTAGGGTTTAGGGTTTAGCGTTTAGGGTTTAGGGGTAGGGTTGGGACATCTAGGGTTTACGGCTTACAGGGTTTAAGGCTCAGGGTATCTCTTCTAAACATACAACTCATGTGAGTTGCTGTTGATTAACGTTTGGGGTTTGACGTAACTTGATGTTCCGTATCTAGGCGAGTTTCGTATTTGCTTTTCTTGGGCTGCTTTGAGCTTTAGATGTCTGATTCTCAGATTGGGGTACCCTTCGGGTCCTCAAGGGGCATTAT